GCCTTCCAAGGAGCTGGAACTACAGGCGCGTGCTACCACGCCCGGCTAATTTTTTGATTTTTTTATTGTAGAGATGAGGTCTCGCCAAGTTGCCCAGGCAGGTCTCGAACCCGTGGGCTTAGGCAGTCCACTCACCTCGGCCTCCCAAAGCGCGGGATTACAGGCTGAACCACCGAGCCCGGCTTAACTATTCATTTTTAGAGACAGGGTCTTACTGTGTCACCTGGACTGGAGTGCAGAGGCACAGTTATAGCTCACTGCAGCCTGGATCATCTGGGCTCAAGCCGTCTTTCTGCCTCAGTCTTTAGAGTAGCTACGACTACAGGTGCTTGCCACCACACCCAGCTAGTTTTCTTTTTGTAGCAGAGAGGTCTTGGCCAGGCTCATTGGCTCAGTCTGTAACCCTGGCACTTTGGGAGGCCAAGGCAAGTGAATTGCCTGAGCCTGTGGGTACAAGACTAGCCTGGGCAACTTGGTGAGACTTCGTCTCTACAATAAACCAAAAATTAGCTGGGTGTGGTAGCGTGCGCCTGTAGTTCTGGCTACTTGGAAGGCTGAGGTGAAAGGATCGCTGGAGCCTAGCAGGTTGATGCTGGGGCGGCTGTTAGTGTTCCACTACACTCCAGCCTGGATGATAGAGTGAGATGCCAACTCAAAAAAAAAATTGGTCTTGCTGTATTGCCCAGGCTGGCCTGGAACGTCTGGCCTTAGGTGATCCTCCAGCTTAAGCTCCTAAAGCTCTGGTGCTCCCAGCCACCGCATCTTCAACCTGCTGGGCTCAGGTGATCCTTCTGCCTCAGCCTTCCAAGTAGCTGGAACTATAGGCATGTGCCACTAGGCCTGGCTAATTTTTTTGAATTATTGTAGAGATGAGGTCTCACCAAGTTGCCCGGGACTGGTCTTGAACCTATGGGCTCAGGCAGTCCTCGAACCTTGGCCTCAAAGTGCTGCGATTATAGGTGTGAGCCACCATACCTAGCCTGTCTGTCAAACTCTTATGCTAGACTATGTCTTGGTGAATGGGGATGATACAATCTACATGACAATTACATTTCACAGAGGATTATATGAGATAATAGTATTAAACACATAGTAATTGTTCAATAAATGTTAGTTGCTATTATATATTAATAGTGTTTGTTTTGGGGTTTGGTAAATAACCTGTCACTGCTGAAAAAACTTGTCATTACAAATCAATTAATGCTTTCTGGGAACTTTCTTTCAGATCTCATCTGCTGCCTGTGGCTATGGATTCACATTGCTGTCCTCTAAAACCAAGGATGTCACAAAAGTTTGGGGGATGGGACTCAACAAAGATTCTCAGCTTGGATTTCACAGGAGCCGGAAAGATAAGAGTGAGCATCCTTGCCCTGCCTCTGCTGTGATGGGTCTGAGTACGCTTCTTTTGGCTTTCAAGGACATGATTACCTGAACCAAACCATAACAACAAAATAGATGGAGACCCAAAGGGATGTTGTTGAACTATTATTTTTCAGCTTGTTTGATAACAGTGTCGAACCATCGGGCAAAAGGGCAAGCGCCTGGCATTTGCTGATAAGTAAAGATGTTCTTTTTTGGCCCAAAAGAAATGACCCTTTTTCCTAGCTTGGAGACAGCCTGAAGTACTCTCCAGTGCCTAGAGTATGGGTTGGGAAAAAACATTTAATGAAATTTTTATTTAGAATGTTTGAAACGTGGTTTGTAAAAATGTTAAGGTAGCTTGTAGTGGCATTTTCTTTCTTTCGTTTTTTTTTCTTTATTTTATTTTGTTTTGAGTCAGGTTCCTACTCTTACCCAGGCTGGAGTGCAGTATCACGATCATGGCTTATTGCAGCCTCAAACTTCTGGGCTCAAGCAATCTGCCTGCCTCAGCCTCCTGAGTAGCTGGGACTACAGGTATGTGCCAGTATGCACAGCTAATTTTATTTTTTATTTTTGTAGAGACAAGATCCCACTATGTTGCTTAGGCTGGTCTCAGATTTCTGGCCTCAAGCAATCCTCCTTCCTCAGACTCCCAGAGTGCTGGGTTTACAGGCGTGAGTCACAATGCCTGTCCTGTAATGACATTTTAAAAAGTAGATCTTGCCGGGCGTGGAGGCTCAAGTTTGTAATCCCAGCAACTTGGGGAGGCCAAGGTGAGAGGATTGCCTGAGCCCAGGGGTTCAAGACCAGCCTGGGCAACTTGGTGAGACCTTGTCTCTACAATAAATCAAAAAGTTAGCTGGGTGTGGTAGTATGTGCCTGTAGTTCCAACTACGTGGAAGGCTGAGGCGGAAGGATCGCCTGAGCCCAGTAGGTTGACACTGGGGTGGCCATGAGCATGCCACTGTACTCCAGCCTGGGCAACAGAGTGAGACTACAACTCAAAAAAAGAAAAAGAAGATGTTAGTGAAATAATACTGTAAGAACAGTTAGCTGGGCTCGGTGGCTCAGCCTGTCATCCCGCGTCTTTGGGAGGCTGAGGTGAGTGGATTGTCTGAGCCTGCGGGTTCGAGACCCGCCTGGGCA